CATTTGCACACACAAGCACGCATCACTTCTACCTCTGCCCTTCTTATATCCTTTAATTCTGATCTTCAAGAATCGCTTTGGATATAGGCAATTTATCCACTTCCGTACTGCTTAACATGCCGTCAAGTAATGTTAATCGTCCTAAAACACCTCTAAGTCCTTCACACCTTCATTGTCCGCCATAAACATTTTGAGCAGATGCAATGTTTTCATATTTGGGATGAACTTGTGGAGAATAGTCACAACATCAGCTTCTTCCTCCTTCACCAACACATCACCTTTTGGCAGAAGCAAAGAAGATTTTACCTTATTCTCTACAATATCAGATTTGCTTGAAGCTGTTGCACTGATTTCTGGTCTGCGAGCCCCGCTTGAAGTCATTGCGCAAATTTTCGTTCTTCAGCATTCCCTTAGACGTGACTTTCATGCCCATACCGCTGTATTTCATGGCGAAAGAAGCGTCCTTTCTGATTTCTCCCAAAGCCTTTCTGACCACTTCCGCTTGACCGTTAGACTGCACTGCATTTTTAAAATGACGCTACGGATCTTCATTGATTTCCGTCCACATATTAACAAACACAAGGAATCGAGAGCGGTCGACACTCGAAATCAGCGCCAATTCATCCAAAAAAACTCTTTCTGTTTTCTATGTTCAAGCTTCCATATTTTTTCCGAGACCCAAATAAATCAGGCAACATGACAGCAGCACTTTTGGTCTCGTGCTCGATGAAGTTGAAACGAACATAAGCGGCGTAATCAAGGAGGACATCTCGTTTGTCGAGATTTTTTTTAGAATACACGGGAAAAATCATAAATCGAGTTAAGTCGCATAGATGTAAACGATACGCTAAGTTGGCGGTCCTACGATGTCCCACCAACTCCCCTACGAGAAGATGGATGTTGTGACTGGTGTCTCTATCTCACTGCAACAATCCCAGCCAAGGAATGATGTTACCAGCATTACGATTTGTAGAAAGCACCCAAGCGACGTCTTCTGCGACCTCAAGTTTAGCATTTGATCTTAGATCTAGTTTACATACTTTGATGACGTAGGACAAGAATACGGTACGGGGCTGAATAGCCAGTAGTTATACATGTATTTAGATTTTACTATACATATTTAGGAAAATCTATG